TCACAAGACCAAGTGCTGCACCTAGGTCTGAGCAACCCCCAGTATCAATACAGGCTGGAGGATGAACAGATTGAGAACAGCCCTGCTGAGAAGGACTTGGGGGTGCTGGTAGAAAGCCGTGGTCCTGGGCTGCATCAAAAGAAGTGTGCCCAACAGGTCGAGGGAAGTGTTGCCCCACTACTCTGCTCTGGTGAGACCCCCACCTGGAGTACTGCATCCACCTCTGGGGTCCCCAGCACAGGAAGGACATGGACCTGTTGGAGCAAGTCCAGAAGAGGGCCACCAAGATGATTAGAGGGATGAAGCACCTCTCCTATAAGGAAAGGCTGAGAGAATTGGGTTTGTTTGGCCTGGAAAAGAGAAGGCTTAGGGGTGACCTAATTGCAGCATTCCGGTACCTGAAGGAGCCTACAAGAAAGATGGAGAGGGACTTTTTACAAGAGCATGTAGTGACAGGACAAAGGGGAATGGATTCAAACTGATGAAAGTAGGTTTAGATTAGATATTAGGAAACAATTCTTTACTGTGAGGGTGGTAAGGCACTGGAACAGGCTGCCCAGAGAATCTGTGGCTGCCCCATCCCTGGAAGTAGTTTAAGGTCAGGTTGGATGGAGCCCGTAGCAACCTGGTCTAATTGAAGGTGATCTTTAAGGTCCCTTCCAACCCAAACCATTCCATGATTCTATGATATCAAGAACACCCAAGGTCACAGATTGCATAAACATTTAATTAAGGCATGTAAAAGGTCATCAAAATAGCATAGTGAAGAAATGGCATGTTATAAGATTATGCATTCTCTAAGCAATACAAAATAATTGCAGGAAATTTTGGGGGCAAATGTTGTAAAAAATAATCAGCTACTAGTAAATGTAGCTACAAAGACTTGGTTACTACTTCTGTTAACTGTAGTATCAGGTAAAAGCAAAGTGACATGCTAAAAATTCCTATATTCATTAATTGTATTTTCCAGTAACTGATTTTAAATAAGATTTTACTAAGAGTGAGAGTAACATCAAGAAAAAGGGATCTTGCCCATCTTGTCTGATTGGGTCTCCTCACAGGAAGGCAGACAAATAATCCAGCTGCTGTATTGTCTCAGCTTTCCAACAAAAGGAAGAAATTCTTTACAGAGAGGGTAATCAGGCATTGGAATGGGCTGCCCAGGGAAGTGGTGGATTCTCTGTGCCTGGAGGTTTTTAAGATGAGACTGGATGTGGCACTTAGTGCCACAGTCTAGTAACCACGGTGGGTAGTGGATCAAGGGTTGGACTTGATGATCTCAGAGGTCCTTTCCAACCCGGCTGATTCTATGATTCTATGAAAAGCTGTTAATACTTTTTAGTGTGAAGAATGTTACCTCAATATGTCCATTTTTTAGCAATGAGTTCTTCACTGTAAAAACTGAATCTGGTGGTCAAATACATCTGCACTTTTGCACTATAGTAGTTATGATATGCGGTTATCATTTAAATAGTTTTATCAATAATTACTTTAATCATCTATTCACAAATCTGGAGCGCTTGTTAGAACTTCCAGCCTTCTAGAGGAGAAGTTTAAATGAGATGCTAAGTGAAAATCTCTCCCTATACAAACATTCATGACAAACTTCTTTCTGACTGGAAAATTTCTGAAGCAAAGCTGTTTTGTCAACAACTGAGAATTTCTTGAAATGAAAGCACTTTGCAAAAAGCACCAGTTTTAATTACACTTCATGCATTTTGTCCAGTCAGCTATGGTACATGAAGTTACAGTCTAATGGAAATTGTCATTCTTCCCTATCACCTCATTTGGCTGGGACTTCAAGATCCTCATCCGCAAGTCAGTCTAGGTATAGGACAGCCCCAACAAACTGCCATTTCTCCAGGTTTCTCAAGCTCAAGGGAATTCTTGCTCTTCTTCCAGGTATGATGCAGCCTGATGAATTACTCTTCCTCAAATCAATATCATCCTTGTTCCTGAAACTACTAGCCTCCAGCTGGACAGATCCAGCACAGGTCTGAAAGAATACTTCACAATTTTCAGGATTTGGCTAACTGTAATTGTCATACATTATTTCATTTAAGAGAGTACAGTATATAAAACCAAACTGTCTGACAAGTAGCATACTTGACTTTCCCTCCTTTCAACATATTCATGAAACCTGTCTTCATGCAAAAAAGCTTATAGGGCTTTTCTGAGTTAGGTGATATTAGCAATATTAATACAACTCCATCAAAGGCATCTTCCATCCATACATATGGTTATCTTTCCTTCTCTTTGTACAAAACTATGTCCTAAACTATTATGACAAATTCATATGAATAATGATGAAAAAATTATACAATAGAGAGTTACATGTGAAAAGAGAAATCAAAATATTATACATTTGTTTTCATAATGCAGCCTTCAACCTTGTGCACACTTTATTCATCTCTCAAACACTGGCATTTCTGTCCCCATTGTGCTCTAATTTCTGGTTTACCAAATGACCTCTGCAAACAAAATTTACAGCAAAGGGAACGGGATCCTGCCCCTCCTGTATTAAATCAGAGGCAGATCTCTAACTGTGTATAATTGGCTTGATTCTACATTCAGTTTTCTTTATATTCAAGGATAAAAGGAAGCTGTTGGTCTTTGTTATATGTGGAAACTACAACAGGGTTCCTTTAACTTACAGATCTTATGTCAAGTGTCTATGGGCTTAAAGGCAAGAGGGATGAAGTGTAATGCTATGGAAAAGGTCCTGAAACAGATGTGATGCAGCTGACAGCAAATGAAGAGTGAAAGCTGACAGACATATCCTAAGTACCACAGGTTAGATAACTCTTCCTGCAACAAAACCCTCTGTAGAAAAAGAGCTACTACAAAAGAAAGAATTTTCCAACTGAAGAACCCTGTGTGTTTTAAATTAATCATCAATTTCTGTCTCAAAAATTAATCTAAAGCCCAAACAATAAACTATTTTACTTCAAAATGAGCAAATTCAGTCACAAGCACTTCTACCTCAAGGATCCTGACCATTTGCTTTGACTTACCCGCTTATGAAGACGTTCTGCTTCCTCCTGATATGCAGCAAGTTGTTGCTTCCATTGTTTTACATTGGCAGTGGACTCCAGCAGGGCTGCAGTGAGCTTAGCATTATTACCCTTGAGTGTGGCCAGTTCTGCCTCCCAATGTTTGCTGATTGTTGAACTGCAGACAGAAAGAGAATGGTAAGAGTCCTCTTTCTCTTTTTTTTCTTAAAATGTCTTTTTTTTTAATATCCAGGAAAAATAGAATTATGAAAAAATCCTATGTCCAAATGAGAATCCAAGTGCTCAAATCATCAAAACTTTAAATTAAGAAAATATTAATGAACAGATTTTTTTAATATAGATATATCACTTTTGGCAAACAACCTCTACCCTCCCAGTTCAACAGGGTACTTTTTTAAAATAAAATGTTAAGGATGATGAAATCCATATTAGCTTCCCAAAAGCAACAGTATGTAATTCTAGAATATGTATGTTATTAGTTATCATTTTAATCTACTACTTTATGAAATATATTGTAAATAAAAAATTGTCACCAGCTCAATAAAGAAAACTAATGTAGTGCTTTGGAACTACAACTTAATTGTCTTAATGCAAATCTATGCTGGAAATGTACTATATTTATTAAATACCATATTTAATTTCTATTTACAAATTCAAAAGTCTTGAATTTCAACACCATAATCTTGTTAATGTGCCTTTCTTCAGTAATATCAGCAAAGAGACCAAAGACTGAGGAACACAGAGATAGTATTGCTTTAATGCAAAGAGGAAGGTGATGTTGGGGTCTCTTGAAGTAGCCTATGGAGGAATAATCCTTGCCTACAGTTTAGTTATTCTCTGAGGAAACATAGGGCTTTATTTTTCACAGATAATTGGTCTGCCATCGTCCAAAGACCCTATCCTTCCACTCAGTATGCAAGGGAAAAACATCTTATACACATCAAGTGAATGTATTAGTATGCAATTAATTAATTAATATTTACTTGTATAACATTGACAGCATGTGAGGTGCACATCTACATGGAAAATACATATAGAAAATAATTAATTTTGTTTAATTAGTTTACTATTAAAGAAATCATAGAAAATCAGTGATCTGTAACTCGGGTCAAAATAATTTTTGTAGCAATGTCTACTCTTCTGTTTCTCTGATCATATTTACTTTTCATTTATAGTAGCACAGCAGATCAAAAAACTCCATAAAAGAACATGCTAAAAAAAATCTAGTTCATTATCATATTCACAATTCTTCATTGATGTTCTGATACAGCAAAAAAATATCCCCACCAGCAATTGCATGCAAGCAAGTAATCCCATTTAGTAGTTTTGCTATGGTAGGACTAGTAGCTAACTTTGTGTGCATGACATATACATGTTTACAAAATGTGCCTTAATGCTAACTTTTCCCCAAAGAAAAATTATTTTATATTGATGCAATGAAGCAGATAAAAACTTTATATCCAGGAAAGTTACAGGATGAGAACTCCTTGGTCACTTAATACCCTAATTTAAGATGCAAAAAGGGTAGTGAATGGATTTTTTTTCAGTTTAATAATTTATATACCCACAATGATGCAAGGTAAACTTATAAGCCATGAAGGTCCCAGAAGTCAGACTGCTAGCTAGTGTTGAGTAATAATGCGAGGGGGATTTGTGCAGTTTTTCATATTCACCTTTGTCCAGTGCCTTACTACCCTGCTAAGAAAACAGTCAGGAGCTCTAAGTTATTGCTTGTATACTGGAATGTCATCATTAAATACAAAACATGAATTTTCTATTACTACTATGGCTCCCCTGGTTCAAAGGTTAGAAGGTTTCTTTGAAGCTGGTTATTTTTTAATTGGTTGTTTTCAATAGGACTGCCCCAGTATTATTTCTCAATCATATTTTTTTATCCCTAAGAGATTTACATAGTGGGCATGAACATGTCTACTGTAATGCAGATGTTATTTGTTTGTAGCATATATGTATTTTCTTCTACAAATAATTTCTACTGTATCTTCTACAGATTTGACTATGGTTTCATAAAATAGAAATATATTACTTAAAGTAGTCTAGTTTTGTATCTGATAATACACAGTGACTGTCAAACTATTTAGACTTATACTGTTTCTCCTTATAAAACTGCACATTGTCTCACATAAATGCAGCAATGTGATGGATATCACACCATGAAACAGAGCAATAGAGCACATAGCCATCAGGTCCTCTTCCATTCTTGGAAGAGGCAAGTACATCATCTCTTGTCCTATGTATTGATCATCAAATCAGTGGGGTTGGGTCAAAATCTTTGCAGACTTGATGGATGAAGCTGACCAAAGAGATTGAGTAATGGTACAGACTCTTTCCACTATATGGCAGATTACTGTGCAATGCAAATCAGTGGCTATATTCTATTTGTATCCATCACCTAAATCCATATTCAGTGTTTCATAGTAAAACTTTAATTCATCACAGGGACTGTAGAGACTACCACAACACAAACAGAGACCACCTTTTAATATGGAAAAAATCAATGGGGAAAATGGGAGAAAGCTGCTGAGGGGTTTTTCTACCTCCATTAAGTGCAGTCCTTATATAAAAGGTATCAAATGTCCTGTCTGTCTCAGAAAACCTGATAAGCAAAGGGTCTCATTAGTTGAGATGCTAACAGACTGTTTTAGACATTAAAAGGCTTTGATCTCCTGGGGAGGGGACACTGATAGACAAAAAAAAAATAATACAGAATGGACAGAAAATTCTTATTTTCTGCCTCTTTTTACATGACAGAAGAACTTTGAAAAACAAGTAGCAAGTTGCATGAACTATGTGACCACAGTAAACCATATATTGGTTGCATAGGATTTAAAAAAACAACTTGCAAATGAGTTGCAACATTTATCAGTGAATACTGTCACTTGTGGTTTTTGACTATATCAGATTTTTAAGAGAATGGAAATAATAAAGTTTCCTTGCTCAAAACAAATCTGAATCCAAGAAAATACTAAATTTCTTGCACTATGTTGGCCCTAGAGTCAAATTTACTGAAAGAAGATTAAATGGATTTTTAAAAAAGAGGAAGAAATCCGATAAATGGGAAATCTCTGATACTGGTGTTTTTTCTATGAACTACAAATTAAGATTAGGAGGTAGCAGTCCCTATCTAAGTGTCACTCTCCCCTATTGTAACCCCCCCAGTTTTTATTTAAGAAAATACCCAAACACAACCCCTTCCCTTAATTCGCACTAAAAAGTATTAACAGCTTTTCATAGAATCATAGAATCAGCCGGGTTGGAAAGGACCTCTGAGATCATCAAGTCCAACCCTTGATCCACTACCCACCGTGGTTACTAGACTGTGGCACTAAGTGCCACATCCAGTCTCATCTTAAAAACCTCCAGGCACAGAGAATCCACCACTTCCCTGGGCAGCCCATTCCAATGCCTGATTACCCTCTCTGTAAAGAATTTCTTCCTTTTGTTGGAAAGCTGAGACAATACAGCAGCTGGATTATTTGTCTGCCTTCCTGTGAGGAGACCCAATCAGACAAGATGGGCAAGATCCCTTTTTCTTGATGTTACTCTCACTCTTAGTAAAATCTTATTTAAAATCAGTTACTGGAAAATACAATTAATGAATATAGGAATTTTTAGCATGTCACTTTGCTTTTACCTGATACTACAGTTAACAGAAGTAGTAACCAAGTCTTTGTAGCTACATTTACTAGTAGCTGATTATTTTTTACAACATTTGCCCCCAAAATTTCCTGCAATTATTTTGTATTGCTTAGAGAATGCATAATCTTATAACATGCCATTTCTTCACTATGCTATTTTGATGACCTTTTACATGCCTTAATTAAATGTTTATGCAATCTGTGACCTTGGGTGTTCTTGATATCATAGAATCATGGAATGGTTTGGGTTGGAAGGGACCTTAAAGATCACCTTCAATTAGACCAGGTTGCTCGGAGCTCCATCCAACCTGACCTTAAACACTTCCAGGGATGGGGCAGCCACAGATTCTCTGGGCAACCTGTTCCAGTGCCTTACCACCCTCACAGTAAAGAATTGTTTCCTAATATCTAATCTAAACCTACTTTCATCAGTTTGAATCCATTCCCCTTTGTCCTGTCACTACATGCTCTTGTAAAAAGTCCCTCTCCATCTTTCTTGTAGGCTCCCTTCAGGTACCGGAATGCTGCAATTAGGTCACCCCTAAGCCTTCTCTTTTCCAGGCCAAACAAACCCAATTCTCTCAGCCTTTCCTTATAGGAGAGGTGCTTCATCCCTCTAATCATCTTGGTGGCCCTCTTCTGGACTTGCTCCAACAGGTCCATGTCCTTCCTGTGCTGGGGACCCCAGAGGTGGATGCAGTACTCCAGGTGGGGTCTCACCAGAGCAGAGTAGTGGGGCAACACTTCCCTCGACCTGTTGGGCACACTTCTTTTGATGCAGCCCAGGACACGGCTTTCTACCAGCACCCCCAAGTCCTTCTCAGCAGGGCTGTTCTCAATCTGTTCATCCTCCAGCCTGTATTGATACTGGGGGTTGCTCAGACCTAGGTGCAGCACTTGGTCTTGTGAAACCACATGAGATTCCCACGGGCCCACTTCTCGGGCTTGTCCAGGTCCTTTGGATAGCATCCCATCCTTCTGGTGAGTCAACTGCAAGACTTCAGCTTGGTGTCATCTGCAAATTTGCTGAGGGTGCACTCGATCCCTTAATCTATGCCACTGATGAAGATATTAAATAACACCAGTCCCAATACAGACCCCTGAGGGATGCCACTTGTTGCTGATGTCCACCGGGACTCTGAGCTGTTCACCACTACCCTCTGGATGGGGCAGTCCAACCACTTTCTTATCCATCTAACAGTCTGTCCTGGGTTACACAAAAATTCTGGCATCCACCTTTTCTCTTTTCTCCAAATATGCCTTCTTTAAAGACACTGAACTGCTACTGATTAATGACTCAAACATTCGACCACCTGCAGTGACCTCCCAGGTGCTGTAAGAGACTGGACTATTGGCGCTAATGGCTCAGTCAGCAGTGTGCTCTGCTAACAATGTGCAGAGTGGCCAACCAGACCAGGTGCTGAAGGCGTGCACATCCGACACCTCAGGCTACAAGCTGGATGTTAAACAAGATAAGGAAAGAGAGAAAACCTTTGAGGTG